TATTGTCCCCATTTTACAGTGGAGGAAATTGAGGCAAGCAGAGGTTAAGTAACTTGCCCAAGGTCACGCAGACAGTAAGTCTAAGGCTGAATTTGAACTCAGGTCTCCCAGACTCTAGGTCCAGTGCTCTATCGACTGCCCCCCTTCCCCCTTCCATTTTTCAGGTGAGGATCCTTTGATAAGAAAAGACCCGGATTATTGTCAAAAAGCATCTGGGCAGAAGCTTTGAGAGGTTACGTAACCTTCCCAAGAGCACAGACCATCATAGGTTGTGACCTTGAGATGACCTTAAATCATACAGTCTGGGGAGCTGTGCATCGCGTTGGGTTTGGTTTTTTTCCTTCAGTTGGTACATAGGAGGAGGGACAGAGGAGTGAAAAATGCTTAGGGGGCAGCCATGTGGCTCAGTGGATAGAACACTGGCCTTGGAGTGAGGAAGCCCTGAGTTCAAATCTGGCCTCAGACTCTTGACACGTACTAGCTGTGTGACCCTGGTCAAGTCACTTGTCCCTATTGCCTAGACAAATAACAACAACAAAAATGCTTATTGATTGGAAAAAATAAAATAATAAGCTTTTAAAAAAAGAAATCCTAAAGGCCAACCCTCTCATTTATGGAGGTGGAAAGTAAGACTCAGAAAAGTACTTGCCAACCACTGCGCTAATTACAGAGGCGAGATTTGAACCCAGGTTTTCTGGCTCCAGAGTCATCATTCCCCCCCCCACCCCCATTCCCCCACCATCCCAGTATGGTGGGAAAAGGGTTGATAGGATCACGTTCCTTCTTTTTTTTTTAAAGCTAGATTTCATGGATTCCCACTTCTTCTGCTGGTTTGTCAAGTCAGCAAACATTTATTAAGTGCCTACTGTATGCAAGGCACCATGCTAAGGACTAGGTGTGTTCTCTTTCATTGCTCCCTTGAGCCTTCTAGGTCAAGTTCTCTCTGGACTGGCTGGCATGGACTAGAGTCGACTGCCCAGGAGAGAAGAGGCGTTCATGTGCCCATGGCATAGTATGACCACAGGCAAACAGAGGCCAGAAAAGACAGCTGCTAACGAACAACAAAATAAAGAGTGACCTCCAATGTCCTTCCAAAACCTAAATCCTGGCTCTTCCAAAGTCAGTTCGGTCTCCTTGCCTGTAAAATGGAAAGGTGAGACCAGATGAGTTGTGGTACCTCTGTCTCAATCGGTAGCCTTCTGATTCACTGTAGAGGCATGGCCTTTCCCCAAAGGCTCGGTAGGCCCAGCCTCTCGCCTGGTGTTGCTCAGCCCTTCCTGCTGCCCCAGCTGGGACTGAAAACACAGATTCAGTCCGGTAGGTTCACTGGGCTGCAGATCAAACGATCTTTCCTGCCCATTTATTCCCAGAATCTTTCCACACACACGCAGGTCATCTCCCACTCACTAGAAATCCACTAAGCCCCTTCATTTCCTTCTTTTGAATCCCTTCTTATGGTAGGTTTTTTTTCAGTAAAGTCATTTCTGAATCCCTTAGGCCTGCAGAGACAAGAAGAGTCACATCAGAAACGTGCCTTCCTAAGAGATCTATGAAATAGGAACTCTCCCTTGGAGTCCCACCATCTCCCCTCAGAACATTCCACCCACTTGGAACATAGGTTTGGGCCATTTCTAATTCTGTGGTCCATACCCTGCTGGCTCTTAGCAATTTAAAAAAAAAAAACACCAGAAGTAAATGGACTGGCCTTGCCAGGCCTTTCCAGCCAGTCACTTTGGGTGACTGATGATTCATGAGAAGCTGTGAAAAATAGCAGCACGTCATTCACTTTGACCTCATGGAGAGAAGAGGATTAGCCAGAGAAGGTCCTGTCATTATGTACAAAGTCAACATGAACATTCCCATGATCCTCTGCACTATGTCTGCCCCAAAGGGATCACTGAGCTCCATTCTAGCCAGAAGTGGAATGTTAAGAGTATTCTACCAGGGTCTGACCGTTAGTCTCCTGACATCGCATTAATCTACTGCTGTTGTGTCACCTAACCATACTTCTACCCAGAGAGTACAAGGTGTTAATTCAAAAAAGAGAAAGGGAGGGAGGGAGGGAAAGAGGAAGGATGCCTTCTCTCTGTTAATTATTTCCTATTTATCCTGTATGTAGCTTCTCTGTATATTTGTGTGTATGTTGTTTCCTCTATTAGACAGTAACAAGCTCCTTGAGGGCAGGGATTGTCTTTTGCCTCTTCTTTCATCCCCCATTCTTAGCACAATGCCTGGCACAAAGTAGACACTTAATAAATGTTTATTGATTGATTAAAGAAGAAAAATGAAGGAAAGAAGAAGAAAAACAAAAGAAGGAAGAAAATCAAAGAAAAGCAAATGAAGAAGGAAGAGAAAGAAGGAAAGGAAGGAAGGAAGGAACAAAGGAAGGAAGGAAGGAAGGAAGGAAGGAAGGAAGGAAGGAAGGAAGGAAGGAAGGAAGGAAGGAAGGAAGGAAGGAAGGAAGGAAGGAAGGAAGGAAGAAGGAAGAAGAAGGAAGGAAGAGGGAAGGAGGGAAGGAGGGAAGGAGGAAGGAAGGAAGGAAGGAAGGAAGAAAGGAAGGAAGGAAGTGGGGAAGGAAGGAAGTAAGGAAGAAAGAAAGAAAGAAGAAAGAAAGAAAGAAAGAAAGAAAGAAAGAAAGAAAGAAAGAAAGAAAGAAAGAAAGAAAGAAAGAAAGAAAAAGAGAGAGAGAGAAGGAGAGAGAGAGAGAGAGAGAGAGAAAAGAAGAAGGTTGAGCAGACCTGGATGAAGAGCCCCATACTAATAGAATCCCCGATTTCCTTCAAAATTCAGCGGCAATGCCAGCACCTCCCAGAGGCCTTTGATAGGCTCCCCAGGTCCTAGGACTTCCTTTCTATGGTTACTTTCCCTCTACTCTGCATTTATTTTCTGCGTACCTATTGATGGACACGCTTTCTCCCTCGTTAAACTGCAAGCTCCTTGAAGGCAGGCAGGGACTGTCTCTTGCCCTCCTAGTTATCCTCAGTGCTTAATGCCGTGCCTGTCACATAACGCCTGACTGGTTGAGTCCTCTGACACAGATGCCGTATTCCATCTAAGCCAGTTGCTTCCCACTCGTTCTCCCTTCCTCCTGGCCTTTGCCCTGGCTCCCTTTTCCTGCAGTGCCTTCTGCCCTGTGCTCAGGGCCGTGATGATCCTCATTCCTTCACATCCCAGCTGCAGAGTCCTGCTTTCTTCCTTAAGCCTTCCCTGACCATTCCTGACTGGCTTCCAACACCTATGACCAGGGCACACGGTCCAACATTAACTAGCCTCTCTCCTTGATCTGTTAACATGGGTTAATCTTGTCTCTCTACATGCATATTTCCCTCATTGAGCACAGGTATAATGGCTTTGCACTTCTCCTGTGTGACCTGACCCCAACCCCAGCCCTCGGTACCACATAGTAAATACTCAAACACCTATTTGGAGGTTTTGGAGCCATCCCACAACCCTTTCTATTGACTCTGGGCCTGTAGCAAGACCATCCCAGTTCCTTAAATTTCTACTTGAATGAATGTATTTAGCACAGTGCGCGGCACATCATATGTGCTTAATAAATGTTTATTGACTGAGTGACTGAATACATAAACCATGCTTCTGCCTCTTCCTCCTCCCCTCTGCATCACAGGCTGACCCAGGGCTCCAAGCCCAGAGAGGATCATGAGCCGGCAAGGCTTGGCTGGGGAACTTTACTTACAGATTATGCTGGAGTGTTTAGGGGCCAACCAGCTTAGGACATACTTCAGTATGTTATCTTTTCACTTAAGAAAAACAAAACCCAGAGCACACATCCTACTGGTTTGGAGGAGGGGCAGAGGGGTGAGCACCAGCATTAGCTCCAGAGATTGGGGGAAGGGGTAGAGATTCTGGATGAAGCCAAGAAGGAAAGCGTTCAGGAAGGTGTCCAGGTGGGGCTCAGTGTCCATGGTAAGCACAGAAAGGCCTTTCCTAGTCCCTTGGCCATGGGAACTTTCTCCTTTGAAGAGCTCTGTATCTCCTCTACCGCTATGGAATGCAAGCTCCTTGAGAGCAGGAACTGGTTTTGCTTTTTCCTTGTCTGGCACAGTGCTTTGCTCACAGTAAGTGCTTAATAAATACTTGTTGATTGAGAAACTAGTCAATAGTGAAAGCCCTGGGGCCACAAGATCCCCGTTTCCCAGCTAAAGAGTGGTGGTGCCTTTGACCCAGCAATAGCACTTCTAGGGCTGTATCCCAAAGAGACCATGCAAATGGGAAAAGGACCCACATGTACAAAAATATTCACAGCAGCTCTTTTTGTGGGGGCAAAGAATTGGTGACTAAGGGAATGCCCATCAACTGGGGAATGGCTGAGCAAGTTGGGGTACATGAATGTAATGGAATGCTATTGTGCTATAAGAAATGATGAACAGGCTGACTTCAGAAAAACCTGGGAAGACTTGTATGGTCTGATGCTGAGTGAAGTGAGCAGAACCAAGAGAACTTTGTACACAGTTAACAGCCGCCTTGTGTGATGATCAACTATGATAGACTTAGCTCTTCTCATAAGACATCTCCAAAAGACTCATGATGGAAAATGCTATCCATATCCAGAGAAAGAACTTTGGATTCTGAATGCATATGGAAGCATACTATTTGCTCTCCTTTTTTTTGTTGCTTTGGTTTTTTTCTTCTTTTTTGTGGTTCCTCCCATTGACTCTAATTCTTCTTTACATCATGACTAATATTAAAAATGTTTAATATGAACGTATATGTAGAGCCATCTTGGGGAAGGGGAAGGAAAGGGAGGGGGAGAAAATTTAAAACTCAAAATCTTCTGGAAGTAAACGTTGAAAACTAAACATAAATAATTTAAAAATAATGAAGAGCGGGTGCCTGGGGAAGCTGATTCTGGGTAGGGGCCCAAGGCCAGGGCTGGGTGCCTTCCATGAGTTCTTGACCCAAGGGTCAGTTTTCCTCTTTGGCCCCCTTCTCTGGCTCTTCACTGTCCCTAACCAAGATGTTTCTTTCTCCCCACTCAGGGCTGCTGCTCCAGGAGGTGACCATGGCTGGGCTCCATGAGCTACGATTCACTGAAGAGAAGCCGCTGCTCAGAGGGCAAGACACTGAGCTGGTGAGTTCCTCCTAGGGGCTGCCACTTAGCTTCCCCTGGGTCTAGCTCCCAAGCAGCGCTAGTGACATCATGTGGCCAGAGAAAGAAACTCCAGCTGCCCTTCACCTGCTCAGTTAAAGAAAGAAGACTTGGGCCCCTTTGCTCTTCTCCTTCCCCTCCATAGCTCCCCACATCCCTCTTTCAAAAATTGTCTTTTTGTCTTTACTCAAGTACCCCTAAATCCCTCCTTTTGAGAAGAAAATGACCCAATAATTCATTCATGCTAGGTTAGCAAGCCATTTGTCAACTTAACTTCCTCACCTGTAAAATGAGGGGACTGATTCGATTAGCTGATATGCATATATTAGGCTCACTGATCTAGAGCTAGAAGAGGGGCCCTTAGAGGCCATCTAGCCCACCCAGCCTCATGCCTCATTTTTTGCATATAAGGTTCATAAAAGTTAAAAGCCTTGCCCATGGTCCCCAAGGTAGTAAGCACAGAGAAAAGATTTGAACTCATTTCTTTGATTCTAGGGCTAATTCTCTTTCCACTGTCCTCATCTCCAAAGTCCCTCCCTGGCTCTAACATTTTGTGGGTCTCTGTGATTTAATGTTATATAACACGTTAAAGGGATTTGGTGTGTGTGTTTTTTTTTTAAGACACCTGGAGAGACATTGTTTACCATGTAGAATGATTGAACCTCAGAAAAAGTGGGAGAAGTTAGCTAGTCCAAACTCGGCATGAAGCCCCTCTTACATTCTCTCAGGAGCACCATGGCATAGCAGACAGGGCACTGGACCTAGAGTCGTGGAATTATTCTTGTTCAGTCATTTCAATCATATCTGACCCCATTTGGGGTTTTCCTGGTAAAGATACTGGAGTGGTTTGCCATTTCTTTCTCCAGCTCATTTTACAGATGAGGAAACTGAGGCAAACAGGGTGAAGTAACTTGCCAAGGGTCACACAGCTAGTAAGTGTCTGAGGTCAGATTTGAACTCAGGTTTTCCAGACTCCAGGCCCAGTGTTCCATCCACTAAGCCAGTTTAAATATGGACTGAGGTACCTACTGGTTGTGTGGCCCTGGACAAGTCACTTAATTTCTTGGTATCTCAGTTTCCTCATCTATAAAAATGAAGGGGATGGCCTTGATGGCCTCTAAGGCACCCCCTCACTCCCCACGCCAGCTCTAAATCTATGTATAGTCTCCACTGATGGTCTCCTATGATCTGAAACGCATGTCCTCCTGAGTCAGGGTTTTTTAAGCTGAAATCCACCTCCCTACAACTTCTACCCAGTGATCCCTCTGGGGCCAAGTAGAATGTCTGCTTTCTCTTCCATACGATCCCACACTTCAAATACTCCGAAGAACAGGAATCATGCCCAGCCCCCTAAATCTTAAACTACCCCCCCCCAGTTCCTGTGGGGATCTTTCCTCACCACGGCGGCTGCTCTCTCACGCATGGATGGGCTCCAGCTTGTCAAAGGTCCCCTTAGCCTTAGCTAGGATGTGGTCTCCAGAACTGGACTCCGACCTGGACATTCACGCCTCTCTTGCTCTGGGCTTAGAACATAGAACCTGGAGGAATGAATCCCAAATGAAGGGTTTTGACACTGACATGTGTTCTGGGGATGAGGAGCCAGAGACTTTTTTTTTTAATTTTGGGGTTGAGGATCCCCTGCCAACCTCCCTGTCCTGCCTCTTGGAAGACTAGCTTGGCTTTGGGGCAAATTGGTGCTCTGGTTCCCTTAAGCCTGTAGTTTCTCTCAAGAGCTTGGTTACACATGAGGAAACAAAAAGAGAATGTGTTTGGAGGGCAAATGGTTAGCTCCAAGAAAGCAGTAAAATGTGAAGAATTCAAACAGAAAGTGAAATGAAAGCCCAAATTCAGTTGCTAATGGTCAGTATCGCCTGGCTTATAATCAAGGCTTAGCCCCTTAGGTACATATACAATAGACTCCTTTGTTAAAGGAATCCTAAGTCTTCCCTTAGCTCCCAGTTTGCCCTTTCCTGCTATGGCTGGCTGTTCTTTCTTGCCTCGCCAGCACCACTAACTCTATTGACCTTAAATCTCTAGTTTCTGATTTACCCTGGGTTCTGTCATCAGTACTGAGGGCTGAAGGCCAAATATGCCCTCGCCTGTCAGTTACCTACCCCTGAGCCAGGCTTGCTGGACAACTGGACCCCCTCCCTTCTTTCTCTTCAGTTCTGTGCCCAGCTTTCTATTCCTTTCATTGTAAAGTTTGGGGTCCCATGTATGCATCATTGGGCCAACCACCCCCATTAGCCAATCTCTGTAATGCAGCCCTCACAAGGGGTTTTGTAGCCCACATTCAAGTGCCTGGCACTTGTGTCGGGGGCTCACCCTCTCCCATGGGAGCTTGGAATCATGAGTGCTTTCCCCCAAACTCAATTATTTTCCATTCCTCCTCCCTCTAGTGGCGTTCAGCCTAACCCTGCTGTTCTTTGCATTCTCCTGCCTAAAGTTTCTCGATGTTCCAACTTTGCTTCCCTTTTCTCTGGCCTGGTGGATAGAAGGGAACCTAGCCGGATGCTGCTTACGTTCACGGGTTTTGCTGAAGTCCCATGAGCCACCTTCCCCCTCCTCCGCACCCTAAGCCAAAGGGCTGCGTTTTCCTTTATTTCTCCTTTCTCAGGTGGAGAAACGTCCCGGTCCAGCCCTCTCATCTTACAAATCAGGAAACAGGGCACACAGCTGGTGTTTAATAAATGCTTGGGTGGCTATTGTTTAGTGTGTATAACCCAGGTCCCTGGTGACAGAAGGCAGGATGTCTCTGAGTTGCCTCGGATGTTTGGCTCACCCTTAACTAACGGAACCCTCCCCCCGATTCTCCCAGCCCTCATCTGAGCAAAGAGCTTGGTACCAATGTGAAGAGTCATGGCATCCCACAAAGAGACCTTAGGGGCCGGCCAAGCCGACCCCTTCATTTTACAGAGGAGGAAACTGAGGTCCAGGAAGGCCGAGTGACTTGGTCCTCCAGGGTCACGCAGCTAGCATGTGCTTGAGGTAGTATTTGAAGCTGGGTCTGTGTGACTGCTGATACCGGTGCTGCTGCCCTGTTCTCTCCTAGCTGGCCACGGGCAGGGCTGCTGCTGGGGTGGTGCGTAAGCTGCCAGCTGTCACCACCATAGTTTCTTTGGCTCTTGATGTGTTGAGGGGTGAGGGCACTTCTGGGTCAGGAAGCAGTGGAACAGCACACAGTCAAACAGCAAGCATATATGAAGCACTTACTATGTTCAAAGTGCTAGATATACAAAGAAAATGTGAAAATAGCCCCTGCCCTCACACTTTGATGGCAGAGATGGTGTGTAAAGAACTAGGTACATACATAGACAAGATAATCTCAGAAGGGAAAACACCAGCGGGGGGGGGCAGGGAGAGCTGCGCCAGGTGGGCTTTGGGCCGAGTCTCAGAGTCAGCCAGGGAGGACCTGAGTTCAAATGTGGCCTCAGACACATAATGCTCACTAGCTGTGTGGCTTTGGGCAAGTCACTTAACCCCAATTGCCTCACCAAAAAAAAAGAAAAGAAAAGGAGAAGCCATTCTCTCACTCAGTAATCTCTATAATCAGTATTCTCTCTTGCGCAGTGGATAGAACACTGGCCCTGAAGTCAAGACGACCTGAGTTCAAGTCCAGTCTCAGACCTAACACTTGACACTTACTAGCTGTGTGATCCTGGGCAAGTCACTTAACCCTAATTGCCTAAAAAAAAAAAAAGTGAGCCAGGGAAGCCAAAAGGAGTAGGTGAGATTGGAGAGCATTACAGGCATGGGCACAGTCATTGCCAAGGCACGGAATCAGGAGATAAAGCACTGGACTTGGAATCAAGAAGACTTGAGTTCAAATTCAGCCTCCAATGCTTCCTAGCTGCGTGACCCTGGACAAGTCCCTCAACCTCTCTCAGCCTCAGTTTCCTCATCTGTAAAATGGGTATAATAAAAGCACCTACCTCCCAGGCTGGTTGTGAGGATCGAATGAAATCGTTGTAAAATGTTTTGCAGACCTTAGAATGCCATGTAAATGCTAAAAATAGTAGCATCCCTGACAAGTGCTCCTCCAGCCTCTCTGCCTGAGGGATCTCCAAGGAGAGGGACCCCACCACCGCTCTAGGCAGCCCATTCCATTTTGGGCCTGCTCAGATGCTTAGGAAGTGTCTCCTCAAGCCCAACGTCTACCCATTGCTCTGGCCTAGGTCAGGGCAAGACTGATCCCTGTTCCACAGATGATTAGAAAACAGCTACTATGCCCCCCCACACCCTCAAGTCTTCTGTAGGATAAGCATGCCCCCTTCCTTCAGCCTGTCCTCAGGTGACAAGCACTCAGGCCTCTCGCAGACCTGTTGTACCTCCTCTGGACTCCCTCCAGCCCAGCAGCGTCCTTCTTAAACCGGGGCCCCTCAAAATGAGCACAGTGGGGTCTGATGAGAGCAGATGACAGTGGCGTTCTCACCCACCTCTCCTGGAAGCTCTGCCAGTCTTAGCATGGCCTGACACGCATTCACTAAAGCCCCTAGCCCTTTTCAGACCCTGCCTCCCCTGTACCATTCTGGTGAAAAGCGATTTTGTTTTTGTACCCATACGCCAGCCTTCACATCTCTCCCTCCTAAAGTTCCTCATTAGGTTCCCCTATGCTCCAGCAGGACGTCACCCGCCCCCCCCACCTGATTCTCTCATCTAGGTGTTAGCCATCCCTCTCAGCTGGGAAGGACACTAACAGAAGCAGCTCTGTGCTGGTCCCTCGGCTCCCTATTACTGGGGATCCCAGAGGAGTCGCCATCTCTGTCCCCCTCCTGATCTGGGTCTGGCTGCAGTGCTCTCCCATCCCCAGCCCTGATGGTGAGTCACTGGCCAAGCTCAGCCCAGCCCGACCCTTAGGTCCTGGAGCTCCTTGCCCACTTTTGACCTGTGCCCCTTGCCTGCTTCCCTCTCCAAGGTTTCCACTGTCCCAGGTGCTGAATCCTTTGCACAACATACATAGTTTTTCAGGGAGTCTGGTTCCAGCCTGGAGCACATCCCAATGCAGGCCCCCAAGGCCAGAATGAAGGTTCTTCTAGGATGTCTGGAGTCATGTACCCATCAAGGTTTACAGAGAGCTCTGCCTCTGTTGTCGCATTGGCTCTTGGGAGCTCACACAGTGTCTTCCTGCCCCCAACCCCATGGCAGATGCCTCTCCCCTGGAGTCAGCTCCAACTTAGGGTTGGGGCTTGCTCTAGTCCTCCCTCCTAATGATTCTCTATTCTCCCTTCCCTCTCAAATCAAGCCAAGAAACATTTTTTTCTGAGGTGACTTACCGGGTGTGTACGCTAAATATTGACCTCTCTCCTCCCCAACCTCGTCCCAGGGTTGACAATCTACTTCTAGAGGGGAAACTGAGGAAGGGAAGGAAGGATGGATACCATCGATAATAATAATGATAGCTAGCATTGATATGGCGCCAAATGTATATTACCTCATGTAAGCCTCACAACGACCCTGGGAGGAAAGTGCTATTATTATCCCTATTTCATGGATGAGGAAATTGAGGCAAACATACGTTTCTCAAAATTGCACAGCTAGCAAGTCTGGATTTGAACTCAAGTCTTCCTAACTTCAATTCCCACATTCTGTGAGGGCCCCATGGTCACCAGAAGGCACCAGGAAGGAGCCCTCCAAGTTAGTTTGCCTGGGCACTCAACCTGGAAAAAGGGATGGAATCAGCCCCATTTGAGCCAAAAAGATAGGTTCCTATAGATAGCATTAATATAGCGCTTTAAGGTTTGCCGAGAGCTTAATATGGGTTAACTCACATGAAGTGAGGTGGATGCCAATATCCCCATTTTATAGATGAGGAAACTGAGGCTTACAAAGGTTAAGGGACTTGCCTGGGGGCACATTTCAGGATTTGAACTCGGGTTTTCTCTACTGTGTCACCAAGCATTACCCCAAGCTTAGCGGAAGGGACTCTCCCCCTTTTTGGGTGACCCAGGTCAGCATGAACCTTCACATCCTATTCTTCTATTTGTTATCTCTCCAGGAGAACTCTGATGCCTTCCTCTCAGCTGTGGACACGGACTGGAAGGTAGGGCCATCCAGAGGGGGGCATTTCTTGACATCTCTCACATCCCGGCTTGCCGAGGTTGGTCCTTAAGCAAGGCCTGGGAATGTTAAGAGGAGGGGAAGGGATGGGCTCTGTCCACAAAGAAGGGCTATGGCCTTCCTGACTACCCTGCCCACTGTAGGCTTGGGGATGGAGGGGTGGGGGGTGGGTAGAGGCCCAGGTGGCAGACTCTGATCTGAGCTGCCCAGACTGGGAGGCAGCTCAGCCCCTCTGGTCCTCTCCTCTGCAGGAGGAGTGTGGAAGGATGCCCTGGTTGGGTTGCTAGACCCTGTCTTTCTCAGACAGGGAAGGGCAGGAGGAGGTGAGGAGAGAGGGCTGTGGATGCCTCCGGCAGAGGGGAGAGGGACGGCTCACCGAGAGGTGGGGGAGCCCTGCTGTCATCTGAATCAGCGCTTTCTACCAATGAAAACCAGGCTGACTTTCAGAAATAGCTGCTGTTTCTATGGCAGCTGTTGTCTTGGCAACCCTGGCCTCCTTAGTTTGATGACAGATTATCTGCTAACCCTGAAAAGGTTCGGGGGTTTTTCTGCCTCTTTCAAAATACGATTCTGCCCTCTTCCCCAGTCCTGTTCTCCACTGGAGAGGGACGACCTCCAGTCAGGGGCATGCCCATGGTCCATCTCTGGGCCTCTGAATGTTTGCTCTGGTCTTCTGTCCAGCCCCTGTCCACAAAGGAGACCTGCAGCCTTCCTAGCACGTCCTCCCATTCAGTGACCCTGCCTACAGTGGGCATGAAGGGCTCTCAGGTCAGGATACTCTGACCCAAGCTGACAAAGGAGTCCTTAAATCAGGGTGAGGCTCATCCTGGGCTCCTCCACCTGAGGGATGCCAAGGGGAGAGAAATACCAAAATACTACCACTCCAAAGGGTTAAGCAAACCCAGATTTGGATATGGGAAAGGGGAGGGGGAGGAGGGAGCCGTATACCTTGACATTTTCTTCCCAGCTTTGTGGATCAGCACTGGTGTGATTTCACACACCCAGGCCAGACCTGCAAGTCCTTGATTTGGTGCGGAGCTTGTCCCAGGGATTTGGATGCTGGGGTACGGCAGGGGCGTGGTCCCCAGGGGAGTAGGTACTGTCAGGCATCTGTGCTCCTGGAGAACTGATGAGCCCCGTAACCTAGGTGACAAGCTGTCTCAAGGTTCCGTGGCTTAAAAGCTTACAAACCACGTCGTGTGCTCGTGGTATGTCAAGGATGGCAAGGGGTGCAGATCCACAGACTGCTAGAACCAGGGACCCCTTAGTTTACAGATCAGGAAACTGAGGCCCAGATAAGGAGTGACTTGCCCAGGATGACCAAACAAGTAAGTGGGACTCCATGTCAGATCTTCTGCCCCATAGCTAGCCCCCCACCTCCCCTTGTGCTGATCTTTTCAGCCCATTCTAAACACACACAGATTGACCACAGGGCGTCACCAGCAAGTCTCAGACACTTCCCAGCTCTGTGACCTTGGGCGAGTCACTTAACCACTGTTCCTCATATGTAAACCGGGGAAAATAACAGCACCCACTTCCCGGGTTGGCAGGAGGATGCAGCCAGAGGGGCCCAGGGGACCAGTGGGCTCTGGCAAGGTGAGATAATATTTGCAAGAGGTTTTGCAAACTTTAAAGACAAGCCTAGACATGTCTATATAAATGTCACAAATAGGGATGTGGGAATGAAAGGAAAGGGACTGAACTACGTAGGTACAGTGAGGGGGAGGGCTGCTCTGTTAGGAGGTAGAAGGTTGGACCAGGAGTCAGAAGGTCCTAACTCTGAATCCTGCCTCAGACCCTTACTAGCTGTGAGACCTTGGGGAAGTCATTTAACCTCATTTAGAAAATGGGGATAAGACTAGCACTTACCTCCCAGGGTTGCTATTGGGATCAAATGAGATACTATGTGTACTGTGCTTTACAAACCTTAAGCTGACGTATAAATGCTATTATAACCAAAGGAGAAATTGGAAATTAGGTAATGTTAAAAGGTCAGTGCCAGCAACAAGAGAATGGGGTGGGCAGTGGCAGGGTTGGGAAGGAGCTTGGCTACATATCAGGAAGAGCTGGTACAGATGCTCTGATTTGTTTTGTCTATGCTAAGTAGCACCTGAAGGAGAGCGTTGATGTTGTCTGTATTTAAGGCACGTGAGAGACTGTTTGGGTATATGCTAAGAGAGTATGTCCTTGGTACAAAGGAAAGGAAGACAGTGGCTTCTGAAGAAGGTTAGGTTAGTGAAGAATCAGTGATCGTCATGTAGCAAGCATTGATTAAGTGCGTACTGTGTGCCAGGCGCTGGGTTGGGTGCTGGGAGATACCAGTACAAAGGAGAGAAAGTCCTCAGGGAGCTCGCATTCAGAAAAGTGAGTAGCAAACTCTGACCTCCCTCCCACCGCCTCCAGCTTGGACACTCAGGCCCATGAAGGACGCATTTAATGCAAACACTGCTGATTTCCACCAGTTCCCAAGCACAGCCCACCTGGACCTCCTGCCTACAGGGCTCGGGCGTTTGAAAGGAGCTGGCTCTGAGCCCAACCTGGCATGAACATTCTGACTAATAAGATGTATTACTTAAGCATTTGGAGAAAGATCCTTCCTGCCAGCTCAGCACTTTCAACCCCATCGTTCCTGATGGCCTCCTTCCCCATATGCCCTAGACACGTGTCTTCTCCAAATACCAGAGCAGGATGAGAAAAGTTCTTAGTGTGAGCTCAACGTGGACCGGAGAAGCCCCTGTGGTTTCATGAGACTTGGGAGTGTAAGAATGGTATTTTCTAAAGCAGTGGGTCTGGGGCTCCTGAAAGTCTTCCGGGTGGTCTAAAGGAAAGTCAGAAAGTAACTCATGGTGAGTATTTTAATGTTCCTCCCTGTAGAATTCAATCTGTCCTGAAAAACACAAAAGGAAACTTTGGGGGAGATATAAGAGTAGCTGATTACCCAGGCCACGGGGACCTTTTTTTCCCCAGAGACAAGGGGGAGCAAACGTTGCTTCTGAGAGGTGGTTCCAAGGACCTGAGAGGTCCAAAATGTTTAAGGATTAAGCACCCTCCAGTTCACTGCTATAGATTTCTAAGGTAGATGGTTGGAATGAGTGCAGCAATTCATCCTGGGATGCTTGAAGCTTAACTGGTGGGTTCATCAGCTGCCATCTTGGAGGTGAGAAGGGTTTCTGGCACTTTCTTGTGACTCAGCAGTCTGGTGACCATCACTGGTTGGGGAACTGGAGGGGGGAGGCCCTCCTTCTAGCACTAGGTTGAATCTACTGTGTGAAAACCAATCATAGATTCATGAGCTGGAAGGGACTCCAGATGGGAAGACTGAGGCCTGGAGGGCTTTGAGTACTTGTCTAAGGAGCAGAGTTAGGAGTCAGTTCTCCGTCTTTTGACTCCAAATCTAAGGCTCTTTTTTCCAACCTGGGGGAGACACACACACACACCAAAAGCAGGCTTCTGAAAAATAGTCCAGGAGATAGAGATGGTAGTTGGATTTCTGCCCCTGCAGCCACTAAAAGCTAGAGGCTGTGCTGCCTGTTCTACCAAAGCATGGACTCCCGATCCTCAGGAAGGATGGGTGACACCTACCCAGTCCTGTTCTAGCGTCTGGGATCCGAGGCCCCAGGCCTGGGGCAGTGTAGGAGGAGGATGGGAGTCGGCAGCCCTACGGAACGCCCCAGGACAAGCACGAGGACGCAGCTCTGACCCTGAGAAGTGTTGGGGACAGGTGACCCTGCAGCCAGAGGGGCCCAGGGGACCAGTGGGCTCTGGCAAGGTGAGTCATGTCGGCGTGGCATGACAGTGGTGTCCTGGGCTCCCTCCCTCAAGCCTGAGTGGCTCCTCAGCTCTACCCAGCGACGTCAGCCAGGCAGTGGGCTGATTCTGAGCCTTCTTATGCATCTCTGACCATGCTTTGTACTAATAACTCCTGGCCAAAGGTAGAAAATGAAGACTCAGCAATTAATCCATTCTGCCCTCTGAGCTGTTTAGTGCCTTTGGCCCATCACCATGGTCCATTTCAGAAAAGGGGAAACAAAGCAGAGTGTGTGGATGACCACAACCTTCAGAGGAGCTGGTGCAGAAAGGGTAGAGCTGGCCAGCCCTTTACCTCCCCCAGGAAACACTCGGCAACCACGGGCTCCTTCCACCATCGTAGAGGCCTTGAGTCACAGAACTGCTCACAGATTACATAGCAGCCCGGCAGGAAGAGCCTGTCCTTCTGTGCTGGGCTTCCCCCCTGTGGTCGGCTCCTGCCTCCTCTAGATTGGGAACCTTTGATCCCGAGATGAGGGTCTCCAGGGGGACCTGGATGCCAATAACTGGTATTGCTCACGTAGCTTTAAGGACTTGCCACCCTTTCTTTTCTTCTTTTCAGATGTGGTTCTGAAACCAAATGATGGAGACCCAGGGACTTGGGGAGCAGAAGCACCAAACTGCCAGACCCTAAAGCTAGGAATTAAAGAGGGATGCTGGAGCATCATCCGTCCCATCTCCCTTCCCCTGGCTGGTGGCCACATTCTCTGAAAAATCTCGAGCACTGCCCTGTAGGGCTCTGGGCCCCTGGGGGACATCCTCATGATATGTGGCAGAAAACCACTGGCCTGGAGACCAGGGGTCTGGGCTTCTAATTCTGAGTCTGCCTACACCTAGGTGATCATGGGGAGGTTACTTCCTTCTGGGCCTCAGTTTCTCCATCTTTTAAATGAAGGTAGGATTTCATAATGGCAAAGGCCTCCACATTTGGAGTCCCAAGATGCAGGTTCCAATCCTACTTACTGTCTACGTGATAGTGGACAAGTCACTCTGAGCCTCTATTTCCTCATCTGTACCCCAGTAAAGAGGCAGCTAGGTGGTGCAGTAGATGTAGCTTGGGGTCAGGAAGACCCGAGTTCAAATGTGACCCAGATACTTCTAGCTGTGTGACCCTGAGCAAAAATCACTTAACCCCTGTTTGCCTCAGTTTCCTCATCGATAAAATGAGCTGGAGAAGGAAATAGCAAACTGCTCTAGTATCTTTGCCAAGAAAACCTCAGATGGGGTCATGAA